CAACCATTGAAAATCCTATGCAGCACAGTTCTACTCCAACACGTGTGGGGTCACTGTGAGTCAGAACTGACTTAGCAACTGTTTTTTTTATGAATCGTTTCAGGACATCTCTGTTTCTTTCTCTCCCTGCGTCCTTCCTTCCGCCTCTTCTCTCTTCCTCGTTCCATTCTGCCTCATATCGCCTCTCTAATCCCTTTTTTCTCTCCTAGGAGGAGTCTACTATTTGGTTTGTTTTGTTTTTATCTTTGAAAAGAGCAGTGTGATTTGTTGACTCTGTGCTTTCTTCTTCCTATCTTTTTTAAGATATAAAAGCAGCTACAGTAAATTTAATTCTGATAAGAGAAAAGCACAAAGCACCTTTTCTCATGATATTCAAAACAGAGTCTTTTCAAAATTGTCACCGTACTTGAGATGTTTCTAGAATCCTCTTCGGGCCAATGACTGAAATACCTCAGAATCTAAGAAGGGCCTTGGGTGCACGCTCGTTTCCGTTACTCATTCTTAAAATGTGTGTCACAGTGAGAGTTAAAATAAAGGCTCGTCACCTATTGAAGGGGTATGGCTCGCGCCGCCTGGAGAAGGCCTGGTGGAAATCTGTGTGGAAGTTGAAAGTGGTGCATCAGGTTCAGCAGCGGAGCAGACACAAAAACTAAGTTGGAGGCCAAGTTGCCAAAGTTCTGCGGGCGAGGATCATGATGAGCTCCACCTGCGCTGAGAACAAAGGCCGGGCATCTCTTCAGGTGAAGAAGAGACGCTGAAGGTGGGAGCTCCAAGACTTGCCAGAATCTACTGAACACGAACAGGTTCAGCAACCCAGAGACCATTCTATGCCCTGTGGTAGACTGGATCGTTGACCTCATACTTCACCCCTCCCTGGATCCACACCCTTTGCCAGGTGGCTTTGCAGTCCCTGCCACGAGATGTGGCGTGCACTTCTCCCCTGACTTGGGGCTTGGCTACAAGACTTACTGTAGCTCGTGGAACACCAGAGACGTGGTGGTGTGCCACCCCCAATCCAAGGCCTTCAGAAGCTTTGCCTGTTTCCACTTGTCCTGGCCATCAGAAGAACATGGCCTGGCTAGCCCACTGGTCAAGGGAGGAGTAAGAGGCACGTGGAACAGAGAGAAGGCACAGTAACTGGGTCCAGCTGATTTGAAGATGGCTGAGTGAGAGTAAATGGTGGCTGGAGTTTGGGGGTAGTTTGCTATGCAGCATTATTGCGGCAATCCTTGACTGATATAAACACTATTCCTAAATGTTGCCCGTCTGAAGGAAGAACATTAATAATACTAGAAAATGACAGCGTGAATAGATGACGGTATTCTAAAGATGGGGGTCCCTGAGTGCTGCAAATGGTTAATGCCCTCAGCTGCTAACCAAAAGGCTGGAGGTGCCTTGGAGGAAAGAAAGAGGTGCCTACTTCAGAAAAATCAGCCATTGAAAACCCTATAGGGCACAGTTCTTCTCTGACACATACTGGGGTCACTGTGAACTGAGGTCGACTTGATGGTCACTGGGGATTCTAAAGATGAGGATGGGTCTTATGTGTTTGTTCATAAGAGGAGTTGACATCACTCCTGATTTCAAACATCCCACTCCTTAGAATGGGCGTTGGGGAAGGATGAGGGGAATTGCAGAACTCTGCCTTCCTGGACGTATTGTAAACCACAGACATGTCTAAGTTCAGTGATGACAGATATTGACACTGGCCTCTTTGGGAAGCAACACACACTCCAAACTTCATTTCACAGAATATTAGGCAATTAGAGGTAGAAAAGGTCTAAACCTAACAGAAGTCAAACTACCCGCTACTGGCAAGGCAACCCATTCATTTACAAGTCAAGTGCGTCTATCAATAGTTAGGTTCTTATTGAACTCTGCCTCTTAATCTTCCCCTCTTGTTCCCGACCCTTCCCTGGAAAGGGACATGGTATTTTAAAACACAGCTGTAAATCCTATGTCTTTTCCACACCAAACTCCCAGAGTTTCCTCACAATTTTATTTTCACATAAAAAACCCATTGCCGTCAAGTCCATTCCAACTCATAGCGACCCCATAGGGTTTCCAAGGCCGTAAATCTCTACAGAAGCAGACTGCCACATCTTTCTCCTGAGGAGCCACTGGTGGTTTCAAACTGCCAACCTTTCGGTTAGCAGTCTATTGCTTTAACCACTGTGCCTCCAGGGCTCCTTCCACATGTCACTCGCCATTCTGACTACCTAGAACCTCTCGTTTGTCAGGGTCCCTTATACTACATGAAATGCAGAATTAGAGACAATCTCTGAGGTGTAGGTGAAGCGCTGCTGTATAAATGAGAGACTAAATATTCTCTGTTATCTGGATATTATCTTTTCAATTATTTCTATTAGGTTTTTTTTCCCCCTGCTAAACTAATTTGGTTTACTTTCTGGATATCTTTTTGTACCTCAGGAGTGTGATGATTATTTTTTCCATTAATAATAATAATACCAGTCCCAATGCACTCTCTGAGTACCTACTAGGTGCCAGGGACACCCCTCTGCTAGTTTATTAATCCATGGAAAATCCCAGGGGTGGTGTTATCATCGCCACATTAAAAGGAGGACACAGGTTCAGAGAAAGTAAGTCTCTGGCGCGAGATCCAGCTGCACAGGGCTCAAATGCAGGTGGTCAGACTCCAGGCTCATGGTCCTTCTGCGATAGTCACTCCCTCATCTCATTTTATCTGGGAGGGGACGGGGCTAATGATGTCACTGGGGTAGCTTGGAGCAAAGATGGGTCAGCATTCTCCCCATTGCGTGCACCACACAGGAAGGTACCTCTCTGCCTGCTTTGAACTTCAGTGGTTTCTTACCACATGGCTTACGAAGTCATTACAATTGGCATCAGGGCTAAGATGGCAGGGAGCCAACAAGGGCCAGTCTTGTGATCTTCAGCCACGGTTGTTGGCCTCCTGTTACACTGGGCACCACTGTAGCCATGGAGCCCTAGTGGCACAGCGGTTAAGAGCTCGGCTGCTCACCAAAAGGTAGGCAGTTCGAATCCACCAGCCACTCCTTGGAAACCCTATGAGGTAGTTCTACTCTATCCTATATGGTCACTATGAATTGGACTCAACTTGACGGTAAAGGGCTTGACGGGTGGACTTGTTCATGCCCTGCCCCGATACCTTTACTGGGTGTGGAAGGCAGGAAATGGCCCCCCAAACATGTCTGCATTCTAATCCCTGGCCGCTGTTGGGTTACATGGCAAAGGGGATTAAAGTTGCACATAGAAGTAAGGTTGCTAATCAGCTGTCCTTGAGATGGTGAGATTATCCTGGATTACCTGGGTGGGTCCAATGTAATCACAGGCGACCTTGTAAGTAAAAGTGAAGGCAGAAGGGTGAGAACTAAAGACATGGAACCGTGAAAAAGAATCGACCGGCCACTGCTGGCTTTGAAGATGGAAGGAAGGTCACAAGTCAAGGAATGCGGGCCAACTCTAGAAGCTGAAAAAAGGCAAGAAAAGAATTCTCCCCTAGAGTCTCCAGAGATGAACACAGTTCTGGTGACACCTCGCTTTTCGCCCAGTGAGACCCATATTGGGCTCTGACCTCCAGAACTGTAAGGTAGTACATCTGCTGAGAGGTGCCAGAAGGTAAGGTTACAAGACAGATCATCTTTTTGTCCAGGGCCACCCTGGGCCCTGGTTGCCAGCCTGGGAAGCCGGGGCTCTTGATCTGCATGGTGTTCTTCCCCTGAAGCATTCACTGCAAAGGCAGAATGCTGGAGCCTCAGGGAGCATGTGAGCAGGAGCCCTGGCTTAGGGCCACATCCGGGGCCACAGGGTGGGGATGGCCTCCTCCCACGCCCGTGTCTTCGTCTGTTGCTTTCCCTTCGTGTTCCTTCAGGCGTGGCAGGAATTTGACCGGCTACCTATCTGGGGTATCAGCACTGTGTTAGGAAAAGAGTCCATGGCTGGGTCAGCCTTGGCCTCTTTTGATTCCCAGCCTCATTTTCTTTTCTTAATTTCAGGCTTCTGCCCTTGACCACTTCCCCAATCCCCCCTTGAGAGCAAACACGGGCCTGTCTCCTTCCCGTTTCACCTGTTCTGCCGTGATTGTTTTGTCAATTTACCGAGATGTGCCGTTGTTTGAAGTGACGGGTGGAAAGGAATTGTTGTGAGTCCTCTCAAAGTCCCTTTATGGCTTCTGCCATCTGTTGGGTCACTGGGTTTCTGACACAGGAGAGGCAGTGGACTGTGGAATCTCTGTGCGCATGGCTCGGAATGGCTCATATTTCCCTTCTAGCTGGGACATTTTGTAGGTCATTGTCTCCTTCTGGGTACAGCCCCTAAGGCTCCCAGGCTGCCGCCTCTTCTCTGATCTACCATAACTGAGTCATTTTCTGGGCCAGAGTTGTTATGGAGGCTGACTCACACCTCCTGCCTACTTCAGTGCCTCGCCAAGGACTTCCGGCCCCAGAATCATCCCTCCCCACACCTGCCTGTCTGGGTCACTCACCTGTAACTTACCAAGCAGTAGATCTCCTCCCAGGCTACCCAGACAGATAAACACTACATGCTCTGCCGTGGATCCTGTGGTGTGTTCAGGAGAACGGAAGCGCTCATTCCCCCACTGCCCACCGAGTCCCTCCCTGCTAATTGCCCTTGGCCAAAAGTAGCCTCTTTGTTCAAGATAATGCCCTCTTCCCAGGAGCTGCTCATATGCAATGACGGGTTGCAGAGGTACAAAGACCTAGCCCCTTGGCTCACCGCAAGATAACTCAAAAGGCTTAGAGCTCTCTGTAGGATTGACTGAAGTCTTCATTACAACTCTACTGCAACCCAACGTCTCCCTCTGCCCAGTCCTGTTTCCCTTAAACTTTTCACAAATATTGTTCAAAAAGCACTCGCCAATAAATCTCCTACACGTAAATCTCTGAGGCACAGCGTTGTGGGGAACTGGGCCTGTACACCATTCTCACTCAGCTTCCCAGGAGGCACTGGGACCTGGAGGAAGGGGCGGGGGAAGGCCTTACCCACAATCATGTGGTTGCAGACGTCGCAGAAAGTGGGCTTCTTGAAGATGTGTTCCTGAAAGGCATGGGCCTTGCCGCTGCCTGGGTGCAGACCAGCCCTGGTGAGCGTGGATGTCAGGCTTCCAGGAGCGGGGAGCGGGCTGGAGCTGGGGCTGACCTCAGCCAGCACATCTGCCTGCAACTTCGCGTCGTCACTGTTGGTTCTCTGGAAGAAGTTGTCGGCACTTTTGCTCCGTAAACTCTTGGTCTTGAAAGAAAGTGATCGTTTTAGTTTCTGGAGCTGCAATGCAATGACAGAACAGTCTCTCTTAAGATCGATCGTGCAGATTCACGCTGGGGGTGGTGAAGCTTACTCCATGCACTGCACAGTTCCCACGGCCACCCTCAGCCCTTAACCCTGGGTGGGTGATGCCAGTGCCTAGTGAAGAGGCATGAACACCCCCCAAGCCAGGCTAGCAAAAAGCGGTCCCATTTTGCCTTTGAACCTGCCTCTGCTCCTCTTCCCCCGCCTCCTGAAGCACCCACCGATGTGCTGATAAAATGCCTCACGACAGTGGGTTTTTGACACCCTTTGACTTTTGAATTTGAATCATTGGAAGGATTAAGTGTACATGCTCATGGGCTCAAAGGTTGGTTCAGTAACGCTGGGGCCTCAGCTGCCCTTTTCTCTTATGGTCATTTAGCGGCCACTTCTCTTTGCACCAGGAGCCCCAGGGGCACAGTGGTTAAGAGCTTGGCTGCAAATCAAGAGGTCAGCAGTTCGAATCCACCAGCTGCTCCTTGGAAACCATATGGGCCGTTCTACTCAGTTCTATAGGGTCGCTACGAGTCGGAATGGACTGGACGGCAAGGGGTTCTCTTTGCACACAGCCCAGCAGGAAAGACCACTGTTTGACTCAGAAACAACGTGGCTAAACCATCCAGAAAACACAAACCTCAAACTCCCAAGCCTGTTCGGGTCTGAAGCAAATGGGTGACGTGTGTGCGCGCGCGCGATCAATTAGAGGGTATATAGTCCACCCTCCCCTCCCCTTGCTTAAGGTCATGGCAAGCTAGACCATTCCTCCTTTGCCTTTAGGACTTACGAAGAGGCGCTAAAGTGGGTTTGGAAAAGAACCAGCTTTTAGATTGGACACGAAAGGTCTGGGTTTGGGCCCAGGCTGAGGCTGCGCCTGCAGTCCAGTCTTCACATTGGAGCTAGAGAGCTCTTTCACAAATGTGATCATCTGAGCTGCTTATTCAAAATCCTTCAAGTGATTTCCTTCTTTTCTTAGGTTTAAAGATAAAGTTCCTTGTCATGGGCCCCAAGGCCTGGCAGATTCTGGCCCCGATGACATCTCCAGCCCGAACTTCCACCACGCTGCGCCTGCCTTGTCCCTTCCAGCCTCCGGGGTCTTTCCAAAGTCTCTCTTATTTGCTATACTTCCTTTTGTCATTAGTGTTTTGTACGTAGTTTACTTCTGCCCAGATAACTGAAATGACCCACTTCCTGGCTGCATGACCTGCAGCAGGTCACCTCATCTTCTAGGTGGTTTTCATTTGTAATGGAGTATCTGCAAGGCTTTTGCCTGTTGCGCTAAAATTTGTCTATGGCCCAAAGCTGCAGACAAAAAGGTGCTAAGTACTCTTTTATAATAAAGTCCTCAATCAATTGTTTTCAGACACCCTGACAGGACATATAAGATTAGTAGCCCTGGCTTCGTCAAGTTCAGCTCCTCAACTTCTATCTCAGAAGACCAGGAAGATGTGGTGGTCATTAGTACTTGGGGTAGAAGGCAAAGTACCACCCTTCTCTACCCTCACTTTCCCCTTTGCAATGTGATTTGTCAAATCCTTCCATCAAAGGTGGAGTCTAGTGGCCCACTCCTTGAATTTGAGCTGGCTTTGAGAATTTGGCCAATAGAAGATGCCAAAATCAACCTCAAGCCAATTCCAAGCCCAAGATTCAAGAGGTCTTGTAGGCTTCTGCCCTCCCTCTTGGGAACCTCCCAAGTTTCCATGTGAACAAACCCAAGTTAGCCTGAGGGATGATGGGAGACACATGGTCCAGCCATACCCCATCACTCCAGCCAGATCTCAGAAGCAGGGTTGCCCGGTTGGCTGCACATATACGGGAGTCTAGTTGAGACCTGAACTGTCCAGCTGAGTTCAGCTCAAATTTCCAACCTACAGAACTATCAGCTAAAGAGATGACTGGTGTCTTTAGGGTTTTCAATGACTGATTTTTCCAGAAGTAGATCAGCAGGCCTTTCCACCTAGGTCTCCAACCTCCCAACCTTTTGATTAGCAGCCGAGCGCTTAATTGTCTGCACCACCCAGGGACTCCTCCTGGTACATGGTTGGATTGTACTTGTTTGTCTAATTGAAATTGGCTGTGGCCATGTGACACCAGCTCTCCACTCTAGGCAGCTATTCAGTGATGAGGCCCTGTAGGACCCTCTGGACCAGAGGACCAGAAATGGGGCATTGTTAGCCAGAAAGGATTAACCAGAGAAGCAGCAACAACCTACATACGAAGGCCAGAAACAGTGGGCCAGCTAAGACTCTCGACTCTTTGTCTCTGCCCTAAAGCCCAAAGCCATCAGAGGCGGTAGAGCCACCAAAGAGGGAGGAGGAGGAGGAGTTGTCCCTTGGAGTTGTTTGTTACTGTCTCACAACCCAACATATACTAACTGATTCTTGGTGTGGGGGGTGAGTCATGAGTCCCTGAGAGCACAGCATTGATTTTGCCAAGAACCCTCCATCTCCAGCAAAGCTAAGTAAGAGGGCGCTGTGAGACCATCACTCCCTGAGACGGAGCCACACCGAGCTGACGACCTGGAAGCAGCAAAGGAGCAGAACAGCCCCTCTTCACTTCAAGGCCTTCCGACTGTGAACTGGACTGGTCCTGGGGGAGGGAGACTTAAACAGGAGGTGATTTTGGTGTTTTATTTTAGACAGAGTTTTAATAATTTAAAGTAACCAAGAAGTCAAGGAGCCTGCCAAAATGTTGTCATGGAATGCACAGCCCAGGAGGAGAGAGGTTTATTAAAGTAAATACTATCACACAGAAAAAAAATAAAATCGTTATCTGTTTGTTCCCCACTGAGTTCAGATGATTCCAGATACTGAGTAGCTTTGTCTCAAAACCAGAACGATAACATCTACCATGATTATACCAAAGTGCTGCTGTGAGGGTCATAGAGGATAATGCATGGGAGCTGTCCCTGAGAACTCTGTAAAATGCTGTAAACGGAAGGAGGACAGGGGAAAGCGGAGGGGGAGAACAGGAGGAGCAGGAGCTGGAAGCATTGAGCTGAGCTAAGTGATTCATTGGGTGATCCCTCTTACTCATGCCAGTAATCCAATGTAGATGCTGCTATTTCATCCCTGGAGAAACGTAGGCTCAGACAGGCTAAGGAACTCACCCAAGGTCACACAGCTCACAGGAGTTAAGACCAAGGCTCAAAATTAAACATGCCTTCCTCCAAGCTCCTTCTATGGCAGTGGATCTTCAGGGGAAGGATGAGGGAATGAAAGCGATTACTCTCCAGGGAGATGGAATTGCTTCTGATGGGGGTGAGGGTGGGGAGGGATGTGCAATGTAAAAGCAAACCTGTCCTTTTGGGACCTATTTCCTTTATTTTACATATTCCAAGTTTCTTAAAAATAACAAAAGAGCAGGCCTTGTTTATCAAAGGAGAGCGTCAGAGGCTGCCATGTGACGTCGGGATGGGACAATGCCTACACCATGTCCAGTCTTGTCTCCTTCCTGGGCCCACGTGCTTCACTCTCTTTTCCAACCCTTCCATCGTACACAGCGTTCTGCATTCCCCAGAAGTTTAGTGCGATGCCAGCATACCTGCAGCATTTTCCTTGCCCTCTGGGATGTGGCCAGAAATTGTGTGAGGTCTTCAGAGCCTGTCTGCCTCTAGGTCTGGAGAATTTCCCATAGAAGCCAACATGGCATTTCTTATTCAAGTGGACAGCTTAAGAGCTATGCCCGTAGGTTAGACAAAATCCTAGAAGTAAGCTCTGAGGAACATGTTTTCTCCAATTATCCTTAGAAGAGCAGAGGCCAGATGGAACATGTGAAACACAAGAATAGAAGCAAGCCCTGTTAATGGCAGCTTTCACAAAATGATTAGCTGTCCTGCACGACTGCCACAGCCCAGCTCCGTTTTATTTACGAGAATGCCAAAAAGAACAGATATTCTTGAGATCCAAACCACGTGCGAGAAACTACTCTATATACTTTACTTCATGGAATCATCTTAACAACTCTATGAGTAGGCAATCATTCATTTATTCATTCATTAAAACATTAATTCAATTAATACTTATGGAGCTACTGTGAGCTAGGCAGAGTCCTCGGCTCTGGAGATCCAGCAGTGAAAACAGGGATAGTGTCGTTTCCCTTAGGATTTTGAGGTCTAGTGGGTGGAGAGAGAGAATAAATAATCAGAGAGGTTTCTAACAGATACTTGCATAGGGATAGAGGCCATGCAGGAAACTGAAAGTAGTCAGGGTGGCTTCTCTGACAGATGACATCTGAGCAGAGGTGTGAAGAAAGTGAGAGTGTGCGCTAACTGTAATTCTGGGTAGTGGGAAAACCAAGGGCAAAGCGCCCGGCAGGAGAACAATGGTTGGTGTGTTTGAGGAACAGCCAGGAGTTGGGCGAGTCTGAAGCAGAGTGATAAGGGAGAAAGAGAACAAAGAGGCCAAGGATCAGCTTCATGCCGTGCCTTAGAGGTCATGGTAAAGGCTTTGGCATTTATCCTTGGGTGATGATTTAAGCATGGAAGGGCCAGGGTCTGACTTTTATTTTAGAAGGATCACTTCGGCCGCCATGTGGAAACCAGAGTGGAGGAGGGAAGATGGAAGTGGAGAGGCTCCTGTGATACTGCTGTGGAGAGGTCATGCTGACTTGGTCTACGATAGTTATGGTTTGATATAGTTGAATCTGGGTTACACTTTAATGGTAGAAGTAATTGGATTTGTTAGAGGTTAAATATGGAGTATGAAGGAAAACGAGGAGTCAAGAATGATTTCAAGCTTTTTGGTCTAGCAACTGGGTGAACAGAAGTGCCGTTACTGAAAGGAAGAACACTAGAGAAGAAGCAAGATGGCGTGTGGGAGTGGGGTCGGGATCAAGAGCTGAGTTTGGGAGAAGTCTGAAATGCTTATTTGGAATTCAAGTGGAGTTGCCATTAGGCAGTTGCTTATATCATTCTGGAGCCCTGATGGCACAGTGGTTAAGAACTCAGCTGTTAACCAAAAGTTTGGTAGTTCAAATCCACC